GTTTGACCATATAAATAGGTAGCTAGTCTTTGTAATTAAAAGAAAGAAAAGAGAGCTCTTTTGTAATAATCTTACGTATAATAGAGGTTTACACAGATACATTGCAAGATTGATAGTCAAGATTGGTGTTTGAAGCAGTAGCAGGTCTTGATTGTGGTTTGAGTGTTGTTACTACATTTGCCTAGCAAAGATTTTCTGTGATATTCCTGTGTGTATATTAACAACAGCAACAACATATATTGCTGTGTTTGTGGTTTAAGAGAAGATAGAAGCAGCAGGTCTGTTTTTGGTTTAAGCACTAGCTGCTCAAACAGAAGAAGACTAACAGCAGGGATGTGCTGTGCTATGTTGGTGTAGAGAAGAAAAGTAGCGACAGTCAACAGCAATAACATTGCAACAACAGGTTTAAGCAGCTCAGATCAAAACAGCAGCCAGGTTCTTGTAACAGGCTCTTATCAAGTTCTTATTAAGTTTTAAAACAGTCTTGAAGCTGCTGTTTGTGAGTTGTGATCTTGAACTGTTTAGTGTCTTGAACTGTTTCACATTGAGCAGATCTGTCACATTTTGACAGCAACTATTTTGACCGTAGCTTTGAGTATTTCAGGACTATTCTGAAATTAATTTTTTTGCTGTGTGAACAAGAAGAAAGGACTGCATCTGTTTTTGGACTGTCTTTGATCTGTTTTTGAATCTGTTTGGTAATCTGTTTGGTTTTCTTGATTGGTCTTTGATTATTGCATTTGTTAAGATCTTTCACGTATGCAGCATTGAATTTAATATACTGATTCTGTTTAAGTGACAGTTTTTGAAACAGAAAACTTAAGCAGGTTTAAGCAGCAGGTGGTTCAATTTTAAGTAACAGCACACATTTCAGCTACACAGGACTGGAACAACAGTGAACTGAACTGCAAGTTCTACAATAACAACTCAAGTGTGAGAGCAGCAACTGTGGACATTCTCAAGCTACACAGTGAACTGTTTTGTTTTGAGCATATTTGGTTATTGTATCTTGTTTCATATTGATCTAAGGTTTACCTTCTTGTGCTGATCCATACGAGAAGTATTC